TCTTATCAGTTATATAACTGAGTGTATAACAATATTTTTTATATATGACATACACAAATTTTACAGCATATATTTTTCTACTACAAATTGGTACAGTAATTTACTCATCCCAATTAAAGAAAAATATTTAATAAGTATTATGTCATTTTAAAAATGATGTATGCAATAAGTAAGGATTAATAGTATTTGCAATACTATAACTTTCCCTTATGTGTAAAATACTTTTTCAAAAATTCTATTATTATCTTAGCAACTTCTTCAGCATTATTTAAATGTATATGATGCGTTCCACCAGATACTGTATATGTGGAAAAATTGGGATTATTCGCTTTTAAGACCTCGTCAACTTCTGTTGGCTTAGATGCAATAAATGTACTATCCTCACCAATAAAACGAAGCAAAGGCAATGATACATTGCATATACGCATTGCCATTTCTCTGTTCATTTCCTTCGAAAATTCAAATGCACGTAAGCCTTTAACTCGACTATCACGAGAAATGTAATATCTATTAGAATTTATTTTTGATCTACTTAAATTCCTTTCAAGTATGTATTTACAATTTTTCAACCAAACTGAACCAAGCGATCCCTCATGAAGGCGTTGTTCACATTCTTCAAAAGTGTAACTGCGAGGTTCGATTTTCTCTAATATTTGATGTTTTTGTTTTGTATCAATAACTGCTTTCTCAATGATATGGTTCAAGGAAAGTAATATTTCTTGTCCACTGTAAATGATTGATCTTAATGCATCCAAACAAATGAGGCCATCAACGCGATCTGGATAAAGACACGCAAAGTAGAACGCAGTATAACCTCCCATTGAGTGTCCCATTAATGTTATCTTATCCCAGTTGTAAATTTTCATAATTCTTGTTATCAAATGCACGTAGTCCGTTGTATGATATTGAATTCCTTGAGGCAAATGAGAAGATAAGCCATGTCCAGGCAAATCAATACATAATATACTTCTATAAGGTACTAATATTGGTGCCAATTTGGCAAATGAACCACAGTTGTCGAGCCAGCCATGAAGAGCTAAAATTGGTTGAGTTGAATCATCACCATACCAACGTCCTGCCACGTATCCCCAAGGAACTGGTATACGTATTTCTGTAACCTGTAAATAATATAAGGGTTTAAAAAACATTAGAAACAGTTCCAAAAAGAATGTGAGTTAATACAAATTTTTTATATATTCTTACTTAAGAACAAATATTGTCAAACAACAGATTACGTTATCTAGAAAAAGATAGTGGAAGTAATTAAAGCTTCGAAAGAACTGGAACATTATGAATACTAATAGCAACGAATATTAATATAATGGGATCTTATTAATTTTATGAATTGCTTAGCAATAGCAATGCTCTGAGAGAACGAAGGTATGGCGTAGATCTCACTCTCAATAAAACTGTGAAAACAAGTTGGCATGAAAAAAAATCCTTTGAAGCCCTTGAACATCTGATTCAAAAATAAATACATAAGACAACGCATTATAACAAAGCGATTATTCATTATATTTGGTTTTCTTTTAGTACATTCATTATTTAATAGATCAAATAATTAATTCATCATAATTAATTCATCGAATAACACCTTAAATTTTTGAGGCAATATTTGATGAATTGTGATTAAAATACGACCGAAATCCTTGTTTTAAAAAAACACCACATATGGAATAAAAAACTCTATACTTGTGACAATTGTCTAATAAAAGCGAAGAAAATTGGAATATCACCGTCAATTGCTTTTAGTGGAGGTATAGATAATATTTTATTTGTTAATGTGTGAATATGTATAACTTAAGCAATAACTTAAGGACAACTTGACTTTATAACGCGAGACTGCTGCACATTCTTTATTGTTATATTAACAATTTATTAAAGCAAATAAGAGGTGACTATATTATGTTTGGAAATGAATTTGTAGCACCTCTTAGAACGACCTCTTAGAATGTATGATTAATCGATTATAGGGCGTTTTTTGGGGAAGTACTATAAGCCGTAGGTCTATATAAAGACAAAATATATATGATTTTAGTTTTGGAACAAGCATTGAGTTCCAATTGAACGAAATTGGTCTTGTTTTAATATTATAGAATGTTATGAAATAATGTACCGAAAAAAGGATTTTTTTGACTACTCCAAATTTGATGACCTATCAATTTGGAATCCTTCATTCAAAAAATATACTACATAAAATAATTAACATTTTCTAATAGTGAAAATGTTTCGTGGGCGATTTTCTAAAAAATATGTTTGGTTTTACTACACACATACTCAAGGTCTTTTTTTCTTTCTTAATACTTTTTTTTCTTTCTTTTAAGATATTTTGCTTTGTATAAAATGTTATGTATATATCCTTGTATTCACAAGTATGCATGTCAGTAAATATTAAATTCATTATATTTATTACATTATTGTTGTTAATCAATTAAATTTATACATTTAGAATTTCTTCTTTAAATAGTTAATTCAGTTACTACTCGTAATTGTCAATTCATTTTAACTTTTCGAAGTTATATATTATTTGAATTCATTTTTAATTTGTTTAAAGATTTTTAAAGAAATCCGACTTTCCATTCCGTTGATTATTTTCTTGCTAAAAATATTTAATTTTCATGCAACAATTTTATATAAAAATTTTGTAATTTGTACATACATACGTGGATCATGAAACATAACTTACCTGATTATTTTTAATTGTCAACTGCGACATATTAGGTTTTATCAATTCTATAGTAAACCTTTTAAGTAGATAGGACTTCAAGACTGATTGTTACAAGATCTGACTAACATCCGTACAATTTCAGCTTATCAAAAGAACTGATACATGAAATACTAGCACTGTTACACTAGTGCTAATAAGAACTGTATTCATCAGTTCACTTAATTATAAAAACTGAGGAATAGAGGTCTTGTATAATAAAAGAAAATATAATCATAGTTAATGCTTAATTGTTAGTCTTATACAAATGTAAGTAATTTGTCTATTCATGAAAACACATGTTTTACAGCAAGACAGTAAATGAGTTGACTTTAAATAAATTTAAAACGAATTAATTTTTTATGTATCTTTAAGGTTTAATCATCATTGGAGAAATACATGATCAATAATTATTGAATAGTTGACCTTAACTCTAAGAATAATTTAGCTTTGTCAACGTGAACAACTTCTATTGTTTTAAGTGCTCTTATTTTTGTAATTGAATTTAAAGATAATATTTATATGTGTGTATCTGATACTTTTACTAGAAACTCATAAGTAAACATTTCCAATACGTTATTTCATTTCATTAACTCCAGTTTATGGTTATCAGTCCTGATTTTCTTTGGTGACAATTTAAATGGAAAGCAATTGCATACAGAAAAAGACTGTACACTACATGAACATTCAGCTTGAGATAACGGAGCTAAGAGAACAGAGTTTTTCAGTTTCCTCACGTCATCGACAAAAATAACAATGATGTCAACGAACATATTAGCAAAATTATTAACTTTCAAAATTGTATTTGAGGAATCCTCACTGAGGACGAAAATAGAGTGTGAATAATTGCTATTAGATTAATAGATTAATTAATAGACTGTTTTATGTTTGGCCATGTTAAGACCGGTGATGTTATCTTTGCAATTCACTCGTTTTAAATTGAAAATTTAGTGTGCTGCTTTTTCGCATTTCTATAAAACTTGATTTCAATGTAAATCTTCTATTGCTCCGTTTTGTTTTATCTACCAAGCATTCTTTAAACAAATATATATTTAAATTTAAGGTTTTCTTTAACAGGACAAGCATGACTCAGATCCAATCGACCGTTTAAACGATACATCAGTAGCTTCCAAATGTTAGTTCGGCATCAAGTGAATAGAGCTTTCTTCAATGTTTTGTCTTTATTTACTTTTAACTACCTTTCACTATACTATTCAATATATAATTTTCAGTATATGGACAACATATCAAATTAAAGGTATCCCTTGGAAATTGATAAATGTCTCTTTTCGGGCGTACATTGTTCGGATATGCATGAGATATGTAATAGCAGAAGTATGGTAGTAAACTCTGGATGCTACTTGTCTTTATATTTTCACATTTTTATTTGATATTGTTAATAAAGTTATTATAAAAAAAGCAATTAAGGAAAACCTCTACTTATAACATATATTGATATTTGGTGTAAATAGCAAACTAAGCAATTTGGATAATACATATGATATCTTCCACAGTTTCACACTGATACTGGAAACTTTAAGTAGTCATTACCAGACCGACAATAACATCGACAAAATAAAACCGATGCGACTCAATAGCTTAAAACTTTTTTAAAATTCGAACTAAGTACCATAGTTTGAGATATTGGCAAAAAACGAATTATTGACTATCAATGCTTCAACTTAACCTTTTGTAGACGAGGGAAACATGATCGTCAGTAGTAGGCAACTTCTGTAAAGGTTTGCTAATTTTCGTCGCAGCTTATGATTATTCTGACTAAGCACAATATCATACACCGAATTACGGTTCACAACCAGACACATATATATGACAGAGGAAATAATTACCCTTGATCCGTAGAGCTGTGACTTCGTGGCAAGAGCTGGCATAAAGCAATTGACATCTGACAGCGTTAAATGGAAATTACTAGTCAAGCTTCTATATTTTTATAGAAATTTAAACAAATAAATATTATAATAATTAAGCAAAATAAAAAACAAAGATTTTTTTAAGTTTAAATATATATTAGTCTAAGTCTTAAATTTATATATTATGTATATATAAAAGCGAGTTTATATTTGTTTGATTTTGGCTTTTTTTTGGAAAGTTATTGGTTATTAAAATTCAACGAAAAAATAATTGCTCATTATATATATATCGCCAAAATCTGTATAAATATTATAATTAGCACAAAGTAGTAACCGTATAAAAATATATTTAACAAATATATACTTTTTATGTACAACATATTCTATATTCTTCGTTGAAAAATAAACAAATCCGATAAAACTTCAAATTTTTTAACATAAAAGGTATCCACCGGTGTCTGGTTTAAATTTAGATACATAAATTGTATTTTAAGTAGACTGTAATTTGCGTTATTAACAAATAATATGCGAATTCAAATTAGCAAAAAAATAAAAATAAAAAATAAGCATACAGTCAATAAAATTTTGGTTAAGTCAATTTCAAGCTAATCACATATGAGTTTAGAGTGATTGATCCTCGACAAGATATATTTTCGCTGTATTATCTTCCGAAGCACTTAAAATTATATTTTCCGACGCTTTATACTTGAAGTCGTAAACTTCAGCTAGATGACCGCTAAGTTTAAATATTTTAGATCCAGTGCGAGCATCATAGCCGTAAATATTACCATTTAAAGTAGATGCCACAAGTGTATGCTCATTTAACCATTCCAACCTAAACGACAGAAAGGTATTAATAATTCAATTCACTTATTTTAATTGCATACTTCGTTATTCCTTCTTCTGTGTCTGCTGATTCACATAAAGTACGTAATGTGTACTTAGAACAATCCCAAACAGCAATTTGTCCCGGTAAGGTACCCGTAGCTACTAATTTTAAATCTGTAGATGGTGAAAACGCAACACATTCAACGGCTCCAGTAGCTTGTGCACTCCCTACTGGACCATTATTACTGCAAAATATCACATGACCTACATGATGAGAAATTTTATAATTAATATTCACATACAAAATGAAATAATTTAACACGTACCATCAAATCCGCCAGACACATACATTGGATAATCTTTATCACAAGCGACTCCCGTTACTGTGCTTTTATGGCAAATCGGATTATTTTCATCAACGGTCCATAAAGCTTTGCATGTTTTTATATCCCATAATTTTATTTTTCCGCTGCTATATGAGACAAATAATTTCTTGCCGTCATGACTGATAGCACCAGCTTCACAACGTTCACCTTCCCCAGTTAATATCTTAACATCACCATTTGGTATACGAAACACAAATATTTCACCAGTATCACCACCAGCAAATAGTACATTTGCTGCATGATGCCAACGTAACCAAACCATATCGCCCATTGAGTACTGCCAAACCTGTTGCAGAGGAATGTGATTACCTGGTTGATTGCCTGCAGTAGGTAGCACCTTGAAAACGAAAATTTCACCAGCCATGTCACCAGTTGCTAGATAAGTGCCGTCATGGTTGAAATGCACATCAGTTAAAGTATCATTATGTTGAGTTAAGCGCTGTAAGACTTGACCGTTTTCTGTACTCCATAAAAACACTTTGTCATCTTCTCCACCGGTAACTGCCAATTTCTGACCAGGATGTAGATCACAGCCGAATACTGCTGAACTGTGACTTGTAAAAGTAAGTATAGAGTTATCTTCTACAGGTTCTTCCTCCATTTCTCCTTCTTCACCATCAACAATACCCAAACGTTGTTCCAGCTCTTCTAATTGTATTTCTTCCAGTTCATCTTCGTCATCTGGTGGTGCATCATCCATAAGCTGAACCTCTTCATAATCATCATCGTCTATTTCTGGTACTCTTGGCGGTGTATTTTCACGCATAATTTATATTATGAAATTCCTAAAGTTAACCGAAATGTATTAGGCGAATACCAACACGTGAAACCAAACACTACGGAGGCAGCAGCTGTCATTTTTTTGTGCAAGTCAATTCAGGCGTAGAGTTGCCAACGCAATATTATTTTGAATTGTGCATTTATATATTAAATTTCTAAATACTTGCAGTCTCAAAATATTCTTTACGAATAATTATATTCAAGAATTATATCCAATACCATTGATGATGGGTATTTCGCAATACTTGAAACAGTTGTATAGCCAGCCAAAAAAACAGTTAATTGAAATAATATAAAAAAGAATTTTAATTAATGTAGTTCACTACTTTTCGAAAAACCTCTTTTTAAATAAAGTGTATTTTTTTGACATGAATGCTTCAAGAGTAAACATGTAAAGCAAAAACAAAATTCGCTTAAATAAGCCTACTTTGTTGAAACTGATTAGCGAATAAAGCTCTCGCAGCACCATAATGTTGTCAAATCTTAAAACGGATCTATTGTGAATGATTTTTGAAAGAAAATGAAAAAAATTAATTCTTTTTCCTCATTTTCAAGGACCAATACGTTTATATAAAAAATAACATTTACTATTCAACAAAACCTATTGACCTGAAATATATTTTTATCTATTTATAATTCATTGTTCTACAGTTACAGTCTGAAAAGGATAGACTAATATGAACTAATATTTGGTCAATGTGCCGCTCTCTTTATATTCTTATTTCTCTATTTTTCACCGTTATATGGATAAAACCAAAAAATATGTATACTTTTACATAGATTCAAATACAAAAGGCGTTTTCGCTGGTTCGCAAGTGTGGCAAAAAACAAGTTGCTGGCCCATATTGGCTAAAATGTATGCAAAACAACAACATTATTTTCTCTATATGGTAAAGAAAATAATACCAGTAAAGAAAAAAGTGTTACCAACGCATTAGCGAACTATTGTGAACCTTCATTGGATATTTCGACGAATATTGCAATCGTATGTCAAAAATTATATGTAAACCAAAATTCAAACAAAATTCAAAAATTTCATTAATTTGAAAATTGAGGAAAAATTGAAATATTAGTGTTTTATTTTGAAATTTCCAACACTCTTATCATTCCTTTTAATTATGTATTTATTTTAATTTTATATTAATTATCTATTTTTATGCAAAATGCAATTTACTTACATTATGTACACATATGCAATATTTATTATTTGTCAAAAAATAACACTTGACAGATTGCAACAGTGATGCCATTGTCTCCCTTAGCGAATATAGACCAGTAGGCGTTAACGTTCTTATTAGGATTTTTAAATTATTTCTTTCTTTCTGTAACAAAACCATTATTCGTTTAATTTAAACTTATAGATGTGAACTTTGCGGACTAACATGCTATATAGTGAAGCTAAGAAACTTCATTTAAAGAGCGAGAGGAATACACTGTAATAAGTAAATTGCTTTGGTATAAAATGATACTCAGAAGAAGAATGTAAGCAACTGTAGACTATATATGATCGATATGTAAGAGAACCATGACTTTTGGTGGAGAGCTTTGGTCAATAATCCAAGTAATTTAGTAAAAAATCTGTAACAAAAATAATAATATGGTAAAAATATTAAAATTATAAACCAAAAACGTTAAATAAAAGTCCTCTACATTTGATTAATACTTTGTACTGTAAGTTGTCTACAACCGAAAGGTGTTCGGAGAAGTCTACATATTGTAAACTTGTAGTGGGAACCTTCCCCATTATATATTTTTTTTAAAAGTTCTTAAAGGTTTATTGTTAAATTTCTTTTTTTTATTATAAATTAGTACAATTTATAATTTACTCGTCCCAATTAATGAAAAATAATTTAAAATAATTCTCAAAATGATAACTGATTGAATCAGCTTTACAAGTTGTTGTGATACTATAATTTTCCCTTATGTGTAAAATACTTTTTCAAAAATTCTATTATTATCTTAGCAACTTCTTCAGGATTATTTAAATGCATGTGATGTGTTCCACCACATATGGTAAATGTGAAAAAATTAGGATTATTGGCTTTTAATATTTCGTCAATTTCTGTTGGATTAGGTAATATATATGAACTGTTATCAGCAATATAACGAAGCAAAGGTAGTGATATATTGCATATACGCATCGCCATTTCTCTGTTCATCTCCTCGGAAAATTCAAATGGGTGCATATAACTAACACGGATATCACGGGATAAGTAGTATTTATTAGAGTTCAGTTTCGATTTACTTAAATTTCTTTCAAGTATATATTTACAATTTTCCAACCAAATTGAACGCAACGATCCTTCATAAAGGCGTTGCTCAAATTCTTCAAAAGTGTAACTGCGAGGTTCGATTTTCTCTAATATTGGATGTTTTTCTTTTGTACCAATAACTGCTTTCTCAATGACATAGTGCATATAAGGTATCATTTCTTCTGGACTGTAAATTGATGCCCTTAGGACATCAAGACAAATGAGACCATCAACGCGATCTGGATAAAGACATGTAAAGTAGAACGCAGTATAACCTCCCATTGAGTGTCCCATTAATGTTATCTTATCCCAGTTGTAAATTTTCATAATTCTTGTTATCAAATGCACGTAGTCCTTAATATGATATTGCATTCCTTGAGGCAAATGAGACGATAGACCATGTCCAGGAAAGTCAATACATAATATACTTCTATAAGGTACTAACATTGGGGCCAATTTAGCAAACGTACCACAGTTGTCGAGCCAGCCATGAAGAGCTAAAATTGGTTGCTTTAAATCATCACCATACCAACGTCCTGCCACGTATCCCCAAGGAACTGGTATACGTATTTCTGTAACCTGCAAGTATAATAACGGATTAAGAGACTATCAAAACATTTTCGAAATGGATGAATATAAAATTAAAGTTTCTAAAGTATTCTAATTAAAGAATACATATTTTCAGGCTACATATCATGTTGCCTGTATAACGATAATGGATGGTTTACAAAGAGCTATAGGACTTTAAAAAATATTTATAATAATACATTTTTTCAGAAATACGTTTAATAAATTGCTTAGAAATGCATTTTATTAATATTAAAATTATTTTTTACACAAAAAAGAAAATACAATCAACAATTATTGTAAATTCATGTCGTTTTTTATTGGTAAATTGTTGTGAAATTTTCATTTTCGATTGTTAAATCTCGAGCGAAATGTACACACTCGATATTAAATTATAACATTCTAGATATTTAGGCAGAGTAGTAAAATTACTCTGAAATTAACAGCTGCTTTATATAATTTGACAAATAGGAATTGATTTGATTCGATATATATATTTGTTTGTATTTATGAAAAATATAAATGCTAACGAACACAACTATAAAAATGTTAGATTACTCTTAAAATGTTTGATTGGGTAACTAAATTTAACAGATCGAGAGTAAATCTAGGTTGAGTCCAGATTTATCTATCGAAAACGCCATCGCAATTCTTTGTAAAAATATAATAATTTCTTCTTTTCTTCTTATTGCTGACAATTTAAATATTATTTTAATGACACTATTTATCCCCTTCCCTTTGTTTTATAGTTGATATCATATTATGTATATATGCTTGCATGCAAAAGTATGATTGTTGGTAAATACCTAATTCGTTAGGAAGTAAATGTTTGCCAGATAAATTAATTTTTCTATTCGGAGTTTAAAACTTAAATATTGTCGAAGTAAGTTTTATTGCTTTAATTCTTTTTCTTTATAATTAATTATTGATCATTTATTACAACTTTTCACAAATTTCATTATTTAAGTGTATTATTGCACTTTACACATGTATTATTCAAGTTAATTTTAATTTTATTTGAAAATTTCTTGATTTTGTAAGAAAGCTTGCATTTTTGTAGAAATCTGACGTTTATTTTATATATTTTTTATAAATCCTTAATTTGAATACAAAAGTGAGTGCATAAAAATCCATAAAGTATATACTTTCCTGATTGTCCTTAATTGTTATATTGGACATAATAAGTTTTTTCACTTTAATAGTAAATCCCTTCAGTAAATACAACTTCTCAAATGATTGTTATGTAGTCCGGTGCGCACCCTGGCAATTTCAGCTCATCTGTAGAACTGAGATGTAAAAGGCTAGTATTACTATTGCATTGGTCAATTCACTTTTTATTATATGACAGGTCTTATTAAATGCGTTAATTTAATAAGCAGTAAGAGCTGCTTATTAAATTGTTTTTATTACTTTGTTGTGTGGCATTGTTAATAGCACCATAAAAAAAAGTAACAATTTGCATAGAGTAAATACAGAATCATTAAAATAGAATCATGATTTATAGCACAACAATAGTAAAGCTACAGAGTTGACAGTTTATGAACACGATTCGGCTACACTATATATCCATAATTTCTGCGTTTAAACTAAGCCTTTCCTCTTAGAACGGTTGAGATCTTACATGGCAAGTTATTACAAAATTCACTTTTTATAATAAATAAGCTTAGGGTAAGCAATAAGTGATTTAAAAAATAAAGGCAATAAGGGTTTGATCATTTAAATTATTCTTTTTTATTATCACCTTTTTTCATTCCACTTGGGTCCATAAGGATTTAATACAATTACAAGATCTTATTTCGTTCATAAATAATTTTTTTATTTGTGACCAGTTCAGTTCTGTAGTCTCAAGCTCTGCTGACACCGACATTCTCTACGCGTTACGTGATCTGCCAGGTTTATGTTTTCTAAGCGGCTCTTGATATAACAATGGGCTTTTTATGAAGTTTGTGCCCAATCTATCTCCAGAATCTTCTTATAACACAGTATTTCATTTGTTTTTGACTACAAAGAATACAAAGTTACTTTGCACATGATCTTGAGGTGTTTGTTATTAAAAGTTTGAAGGTCTTTTATTTTGTTGGTATGGATTTGCCAAGTTTTGTAACCATAGAGCATGACAATAACACATGATGGATAGATTTTCAGTTTTGTTGAGCTTGAGATTTGAATCCAGACCATACTTTTTTAATTCACCGAAAGCTTTTCTCGCTTTGCTGACTTTGACATTTATATCCTCTGCAGATCCGCCAGTGACATTCATGGTGCAGGTCAGGTAATTTAAAAAGCGTCGATACAAGAATTTCTGTGCCTACTTGCATCGGTTTTCTGATAGTTGTACCCACGACAGCTCAGCCTCGGCATTGATTTCATTGGAGACTCTTAAGTTGTGTGTTTTTGCCTTTATCATGTAAAGACTTAATAATAACTTTCTGATTTCGTTTAAAACTGTTGCTGTTGCCATACAACATTTTGAATTCCTATAATGCCAATTATGAGGTGACGTCATGAACGTATGACCTGTGGCGTCGGTTGATGCAGAAATGATTGATATGGTTTTTGATTCTTCCATTTGGCAACGTCCATGTATATTTGTGGATATTCTCGTGGGGGAAGAACGTACCAGCTATCAATAATTGTTGCATTTCGCAAAACTCTATGAGTCCAAAAAAAGAAGTTTGATTTAATAGTTCGGAGCTCGCCGCAGTTTTTCCATATGGTTTCTGAAATTCCAAGTATCGTTAAACAGTAGTCGTTAAGAATTTTTTTGAGCTTGAGCTTATCTGAAGGCTTCTAACAGTGTTCTGACGTTCATATTGCCTACTCGTATCTGTGATCGGTTACATAGGTTTATAGTAGCATTATATCTGCTCTTTCTATTAGTTCTCAAATTTATATTATCCGCATTATCGTTATCATTTTCATCATCGTCATTTCTTGCATTTACATTTGTTTGCATTTATAATCAAATTTAGATTGATATTAAAAATTGTTAAACTGGTTAAACTGGGTGATTGACCCACAGTAACCTAGTCAAATTTATGGGACTGCCACCTTCGATGATTAGACGCACCGTTGGAAGTTATAGAACTTCAATTGTAGTTGACTGCTATCAACTGTACACTTCACAGGGTACCTATTTTATTTCCATGCTAGTTGCTTGACACGTCATGATGTTCTTGACTAATCGGGCTGTGAACAATTGGGATTTTAGTCACCTCTCGGGACTATTCTATAATTTAAATTAATTATACCAAATACTTTGGTATTTATTTAATACATTAGAAGAAATTGTATTAAAAAAACCTGTTCACCATTTTCACATCCACATAAGTGGATTTAGTTGACAGGCACTGAGAAACTGTAATCAATTATTTCTCAGAGAATTTCTGATCAAGTACTAAGATTATATACTATAAATAAGAATAAGTGGGAATGACGTACGAATCGAAGGAAATATACTTTTTTTTTGAAAAAAAAAAAAAGAAAATAAATGTATATATCATGCTAGAAATAATTTTTAAGTAGCAGATATTATTATTTGCAAACGACTATTAAAAAATTAAAGTTTTTACTTCAATTATTGATCGCTGTAGGCTTTTGTCATCGTTTTTGTTAAAACATTAATCATTAATTCTCTTTTTTTATTATTTTAAAATAAAAGTTGTGAGCTTTTTATTTGCCAAAGGCTTTGTTTTAAATAATTTTTAAATACTTGAAAAAAGTTTAAATGTGTTTATATATTCACCAAGAAATACAATTTGTTTTGGTGTGAAATGGTTTAACTTCGGAAGATCAATACTTAGTTTAAGAAACGAAAAGAAATGTAATGGAGATGAATTCAAAAAGTTTTTCAACCTCTACTCGTTCAAATTCCAATATTATGTTTCATATAAATTTTTAAATCATGTACTAGTTTGTATTTATGAATAATCCTTTAATTAATGTTATAATTGGTGTTCTTGTAGATAGAGGGATTCAAAAATTATGATGCTAAAAATTTTTTTGAAAATTATTTCGTCATTTCGTAAAAAAAAAATTGTTTATATTAAAATTTTTGTTAACTTTTTGTTAATTTTTCGAAAGTTTTGCAGTTCGCAAAACTATTTCAATCCTTTGATATTGTTAATACATATATTCTTCATGAATTTTTTCGTACAACAATCGATCGAATATGAAAAATCAATCTGAAATTATTTTGAATTGCTAAATAATATTATATAATTATATATTATACTAATTTAAAGGAGCTCAAGGATTTTACAAAAGACTTTCGGTTTCATCTGATGCGCATTATAAGTCACAGTTTCATAAACCAGTTTCAGTACAGACTGTCCTCCTCAATATCATTTGAGGTCTGCCAGAACATATTGTTTCCTGCAAGAGGAATATAAACATAAATCTGATGTAGTATATAAATGATCCAAACATATATATCACGAAGATATATAATGATATAAATTTAGCATAGTTAATGAGAATACGTCTTATTCATCCATTGTTTTATAGATGTGCTATATAATATTTTGAAGCGGGAGAGTCAAGTTGCAATATTAGGTATAACTATAATTTGGAGGGCTTGTAGACAGAAGTGGGCACAATATACCCGATGATTGCAGTGACATATCCTATATCCTATAGGATATGTCACTATATATAATAATATCCTATATATATAATAAATAATAATTTCGAACATATTTCTAAATGACACTGCTACACTTGTTTTCTTATTATTCACCAGTATTGTATTACACTATCTTTCGAGCACAATCTGGTACCCAGTGTGTTTCTAACAGCTGTTTTTGAAATTGTACTTTTAAGTGTTCCGTAATGGCATAAAACCATTGTTGCGTAAACATTTTTATTGAAAAAGTATATGAATATGATCGTTCGCATCACTCATCCGACATGATATTAAAGATTAGATATTAAGTTGTTAAAAATTAGGAAAGAAAGTTTACTTTTAGAAAGCTTCTATGGACATGAATTGAAATAAAGTGTCTATAACAAGCAATTATATGGTAAATCATTATTAATCTAATATATTCAGAAATTTCTTCTATTCTGTAGAGTAATTACTAAAGTTTGTAATGTTGCTTAAAATCGCAGTGTTCAGTATCAATTTCACATAAGTGACTTACGTTAAATTACTAATAAATAAAATATCATATTTTTTTAAAACTTTGTTAGCTTTCATTTAAGCTTGATTGATTTCATGCTATAAAGTTTAAGTTTTAAATGAAACTTTCTTCTAGGCCTTTGTTTATTTTTTAATTAGTACTGCAATATTACAAAATAACCAATTATTAAATCAAAAATTAATGCAGCAGTGCTTAAATGAAAGAATTACATATGTGGACATTTCGTGTTGGATGACGAAATAATTAGGTTCTATACTATTATTACATAGATAAGGTAATTGGATTTGGAGAAATACTCTGTATTCATAAAGGAGTTATAATAGATTTAATAAATTATTTGTTAATGTTTAATAATTAAATATTTTTATTCTTATTTAATATGAGGTTTTCTTTGTTTATTTAATAATGCGGCTATTAAATTCAAGTTTGTAGCTTAAGTCTTTTGTTCTCTTCATGCGGAATGAAACAAAGTAAATATTCAATGCTCAGTTTGTTTACTCTGAAACGTTTAAATAAATGTCTTTATTAACGTCGCTTTTATAATATATGTTTAAAATCAAATAAGACTTCAACTATTAAGTTTTTTCTTTAATATCAACATTTTAATGATCATGAGACACATTTAAAGCGCATAAAACACGCACATAAAAAGACAGAGCAAATGCATTAAAAACGCATTTAAAGTAAAATGCCTTGAAAAACGTGCTACTAACCTCTTTCGCGAGGAACCCATATTCATTTTAAAGGTGCACTTTTCAAATGAGGCCTGTAATGAATGCTAGTAATACTTTGGAATGTATTAGTTTGTAACTTGTCAAGTAACGAAATGCTTTTGCGCGCTACTACTCTGAGAGGAGTTCACTTACTTTGAATTTAAATTCTTATATGAAGTAAAGAGGTTTAGATATCTGCCAACTACTACGAACTCTTTACTAACTCTTAGCTTAACTATGTAAAACAACAGTAATGGATTCTAAGTTATTTTATAACCACAATATGCTTTTCTATTTAAATGTACCGCCTTTTAAATGGTCGCCCATACTAAGCACCAATTAAACTGGCTACTTTACACAATCTAAGAAATGTTGCTAGAGAAAATGTTTAATTTGAAAGTTGTAGAAACAGGACGGTTTGGTAGTCACAGAAGTTACAAAATACACACATAAAAATAGAAAAAGAAAAATACTTGCAACTACAGTACATGAAATACTCATATGAGATACCAGAAATGTTTTGGTTGCCGACTTCAAGTTGTAGTAAAACAGATTGCATTAGCTTCAGGACTGGCATTGTTACTCGCTCGGAGTTAATTTACTAAAGAAATGTGTTGATAAAAATGTCGTTAAATTCTGAATTGCGTTTGGCTCCGCCACTTGGTGGAAGCGCAGTAAGAAATAGTTCAAGTCATTAAACACCATTTATCCGATGGTTTTTATTTCTCACACCTATGGTGGTCTGCATACAATATTTCTAAATTTATTTATAGTACAATTATTGTTATGCTATTCTGAAAATGTTATTTAGTTTTTTTTTAAACCAAGAATTTTATATTCAACCTTATAAGGCTAAAGAAAATTACATATATAATGTTTTACGTATATAATTAAGTTGTATAAACTTAGAATCAATTTAATATAAAAAATATAGGAGTGATTCATTAAAAATATAAAAAGGCAATTTTTAAAATTGCTGTTATTAAATTAATAATTGTTATTTTCTCTTTAAAAAGTTGTTTTTTTTGATATAGCACAAATAATCATTATTACTGTTTATAATATTATACATTAATTACGCAAACTTGTATATGATCAACTTTGAATTATGGATTTAAATTAATTTAATTAAGATCTACCATTAAGTAGATAAAGTATAATAAGGCCCAAAGAAACTAAATAATTCTTTTTTTTTTAATTTGTAGTGAAAACACAATATAGGTAGTTTGATAAATACCAGGTCTAAGTAATAAAAATTTTTCTTGTTTTTTGCATTTTATGTTTTACCCTTTGAGCTTGACACAGCAAGTCCAACGAACTTTCAACCTTTGAATACCTTTTAAATAATACGATTTGTCAAGTTTTCTAAAATATACCTTAGTATCCCGTTCCCATTGATGAAATCA